TCGCAGCACGTGCGACGCGGACAGTGTGACGGACAAGCAAATTTTCCTGCAGCCAAGACAGAGCACAAACGCGGTCCCAAGAGTACCGCGGCACGGCCGATCCCAGAGGGCAGGGACGCGGTGCCTCCATGCCTTGCGGCATCAGAGGCGTGGGATCGAGAGGGCACCAAGCTCCTTCGCACGGACCACAAGCAGCATGGAGAAGTTACGGCAGAGGGCATGATTGCGGTACTCCCGTTTGCGGACATCTTCAGCTCGGGGCAGGCTGCCTCCCGGTGAGGCTGTGTGCGCGTCCCATGCTGCCGCTGCAACACACTCGGCCTGCTCCGCTCTGACCGTCCAGGTTCATCAGTGGCTGTCACGGCTGCCGCGCGGGATGGTGCGCCTTGCCGCTCGCACGGTGCATATCCAACCGTGTGGTCACAGTGGCCAGAGGCGTTGCACACACCGAGGTGGAAGCATTCCAGTCGGCTTCACGCAGAACAGCGACGGCATTTTTCCGTCGCGGCAGCATGCCTGCCGGTCGCGGGAGGCCGTCCTCCGTTGCTGCAGTATAAAATGAAAGATGGTGGTCCGAGTCCATGCAAAGGGGTGGACGTCCAGTGGGAGACACGCAGTACGCGTTGCGCAGTCACGTCGGAAAACGAGACGCTGCGGCCGCTGATCCGCGCTGGCTGTGCCGGGTCGTCGGACAGCTCACACTCCATGCCGCTTGAGGTGGCGGCGAGGTTCTCTCCTGCCGTCGTGGATCGTGAGCGACCGTCCCGCAGCTCATGGTGCGAATTCAGGTAGCCCGCAAATAACCGTTGCAGGACCAAGGCGACAAATGGTGCCCGCAAACTGGGCAGCGTGAGCAATTTCCAGAAAAAGGCCGCAGAGGTTCACCACGTACATGCTGGGGCTGGCCGGTGGGCACACGCGGAAGGCAGTGTTCTCCACGCAGTTGGTGCCACGAGCGGCAGGCACTCGCACAGCAAGGTGTGGCGCACCAAGAGGGCCACACCACCGGCACGCCCACTGCAGGTCTGGTGGAAGACACCGCAGCCAACGCGCCGCGTCGCTGGGGCGCCCTACTGCCTGCACTCCTGCAGAAAAGCGGTGTCAGGCCGGTGCTGCGCCAGTCGAACGGCAAGGGCAATCCTGGAGGGCGAAGGGCAGGAAGTTCCGAGTTGCCAGGCAACTACGGGGCCATCCTCATCGGGGCGGCGGCTCCTGCGGACACCACCGCAACGGTTGATGCCGATGGAGTGACTGCAATGAAACGACTGTGCGGTTCTGTCAGTCAAGCTGCAGGCAAACCGCCTCGCCGCTACACAACCGACAGAGCGTGGGACCTTCTCGAGGGGTGACGCCGCCGTGGTCCCCGTCACGCTCGCAGCAATGCCCTGCCGCAATCACTTACACAGAGGGACAAGAAAGAGTGTGTGGATGTGTGTCGAGAGCACAGCAACTGTCATCGTCAGAGAACGCCATCGTGGCACCGCCCGTCACGCACCGGCACACACCGAGCAACGCACGCACCCGGCAGAGCAAAAACAAAGAGGAGAAAAGAATGACCCCAAGAGCAGGCAGTGCTTTCACGTATGGCGGGCATCGTGCAGCCGCGTCAACCGGCCTCCAGCAAAATAGAAAGAGCATTCCTGCAGTGCACTGTGCAAATACTTATGTGTGCTGAATGAGCAGAAGAGAAGAGGAGCACAGGGAGACACATCAGCACAGCAAGAGGCACAGCTGGATGGCAGCGATACATGCGGCACGGCCCAACCCCAATAATCACGCACGGTGGCAGCACACGCCCATCCAGAGAAACGAAAAGAAAAAAAACACGGCGGCAGGGTGTGGCTGTGTGTGTGTGGCGCTGCGGGTGTCTGCCAGCCCTGGCCGCAAGAAAACAAAACAGGAGGGAAAGAAATGTGTGCTCCGCCCCACAGGCCCTCGTCGCACGCCCACACGTCACGGCTCCCTCAGCGCGCCGTTCGTCGCGGCCCCTCCTCATGCATGCAGCAGGCGAGGCGCACAGGGCCGTCGTCATGAGCGTGTCGGTGGGTGTGCGAGTGGAGCAGTTGGGCGGAAACACACGGCACCCCTCGCAGGAAGAGTGCAGCAACAAACAATTAAAAGAGGGAAGAGTAGAAAAGAAAAACGTCCATATTGATTGCCCCAAAAGAAAAAAAAGAAGGATGGGGGAGTGAGAGATGAAAAGAAAAAAACGGGCAAATTAATAACAAAAAAAGACTAGCAAGAAATTTAAAGCAAACAGTATAAGAAATTGAACTTACAAAAAAAAAAAAGCCGAAGCGTGGGACGACCAGCGCACACACTCTCTCATTACTCCCGTAAAGCAAAACACACACACAGAGGGAGAGAGAGAGAGGTCGCCCACTCAATGCAATAAAAACAAAACAGAAACAGTTACGGTGCTCCGCCCATGCAGCCAGGCAGGACGGCAGCGGTGCGTGTCGTGCAAAAGAGAGCACCAACGGGCCTGCATGGGTGTGCATGCATATATACAATGGGCACATTATTGTGTGTGCTTCGTGGGGTGAGGTGAGGGCGAGAGTCCATGCAAGGGGACACACACACACAGAGAGAGAGAAGGAAGAGTGTGTGTGCGGGCGGTGCATGGCTCTCTCACCCTCACTCTCACGCGGCCACCACCGCAGCAGCAGCCGTACAAACCACGAAACAGATGGAATCAGTGCGATTGCAGAACTCGCACACCGTCCTGCAAACCAGAAGTTTAAAAAGCAATATGAAACAATAATTCAAAAAAAAAAAATGGAAAAAACTTAGGCTTCTGCGGGAATCGAACCCGCGTCCCCGGATGACATTGTGAGCGTGTTTGCCACTGAGCTATAAAAATGCGGTCGCGCGACCCCTTTTCACGTAAAGTGTTAATTTCGATCTTCGAACAATCGAGCACATTTGCGTTGTCCCCTGGAAAACGAAAACGACATGTTTAGGGTGCGCCGCCGCAGCGTGGTTACTACGATTCGTCGTGTTGTATCCAACGTCCGGGGCCACCGCCCCACCATTTTTTATTTCTTGCAGCGGCCAACCCCGGCAGTAAGGACAAAAAAAAGAATCGCGTTTTATTTAATGTTTTTCCTGTTTGGGGGCGGGGATCTTTGTTTTCTATGATTGTCTCTTTTTTTTTGTCTGTTCCAGGTTGGTTTTTAGGAGGCTTGATGGGCCTGCTGGGTGATCGCCGGCTTTTTTATTGGTGATTGCGTATTTTTGGCTTACCGGTGTGCCGCTCAGCGCCATTTTGTTTTACTTCTTTTCTGCTTATTGGGGCGTGTTGTTATTCGTCACGCGTCAGCACACACCGAGCAACATGTCAAAAAAAAACAAATTGCAGGGCTTTTTCCCCCCTCGCGAGGGCCTCCGCAGCCACAATCCTGTGCGTGCGTGCATTCTCAGCGTTTTAAACACGGCATGTGTGTGCATGTGCTTGTGTGTTTGGCAGCGCCTATACTTGCGGAGCAGCTGTGCGCCACAAGAGAGTCTGAAGAAAGCAACGGCAGAGAGAGGCAGATAGCACACACGCAAATTACTCATATCATCACACACACACACACACGCAGCCGCGGAATGGGTGCACTCAACCACAAAATCAAAAAGGAAAACAAAACAAAAAGCCGAAGCGTGGGACGACCAGCGGACACACTCTCATTACTCCCGTAAAGCAAAACACACACACAGAGGGAGAGAGAGAGAGGTCGCCCACTCAACGCAATAAAAACAAAACAGAAACAGTTACGGTGCTCCGCCCATGCAGCCAGGCAGGACGGCAGCGGTGCGTGTCGTGCAAAAGAGAGCACCAACGGGCCTGCATGGGTGTGCATGCATATATACAATGGGCACATATTGTGTGTGCCTCGTGGGGTGAGGTGAGGGCGAGAGTCCATGCAAGGGGACACACACAGAGAGAGAAGGACGAGTGTGTGCGGGCGGTGCACGGCTCTCTCTCCCTCACTCTCACGCGGCCACCACCGCAGCCGCAGCAGCACAAGCAACAAGAAGAAGAGGCAAAAGAGGGGAGGTGGTGTGGGAGACCGCGGTGCTGCTGTCACTGTCGCCTGTATTTGCGGTGGCATTTGTACGAAGGGCGTTTTTGTCTTTCGCTGATTCTTCGCCGTTTTCCGCGGGGTGTTCATGCTGTTGATGTTGTTGGACTTGTGCTTCATCACTTTGCTGCTGCTTTTCATTTTCTTCTTCCTCTTCTTCTTCCTCTTCTTGTCGTGTGTGTCCAGTGCCGGATGTCGTTCCTACCTGTCCTTCGGGTAGCGAGGTGTCGTTAGCCTCTGCTGCAGCATACGACTGATCTTCTGTTGAAGAGTCCCCTGTTGTGTTAGATGGATTACTGCCTGAGGACCCCGCTGTACCACCACTGCTGCCAGCTGAAGAATCAACACCAGGAGCAGCAGGAACAGTAGGAGAACCGGCAGGAGGAATGCCACCGGTGCCATGACCTCCAGTAGAAGTTCCACTGCCGCCAGGAGCACCACCACCAGGAGAACCACCAGGAGCAGCAGCAGCAGGAGGAGCAGGAGAAGCAGAAGGACCTCCACTGCCAGAAGTATCACCAGTAGCACCACGATCACCAGAAGCCCCGGCAGCGCCAGCACCACCATCAGGAGAACCTTCTCCAGCCGAGGCTTCAACGGCAGTAATGGGCAGTACTGACCGCAAAGGCACCGTAATCGCAGTTTTATTGCATCCGTCAGGCATGTGGGATCCATTCTCACCCAACACTCCCGACGCCATGCAGCCACCCAGTGCGTTGGTGTCAACGTCCCTCGCATAAACACCGCCGGCAACGCACCACAGCACGCAGAGGGCACACACCAGCAGCACACGGCCAGCCATCGTCATCGCCATCACTCCTGTCACTTGCGTGTAGCCTTCAGCACAAACTAACTCCCCGTCAACGCAGAGTGAAAGCAACAAAAGACACGGCACAGTAAAATACACCAGCAGCAGCAGCAGCACGCATTTCATGAGAAATATTGAACCAATGAAAGTGAAAAAAGACACAATGCGCTGCAAGTAAAGAAAAGCACACAAAACAAGGAAAAACAAAAGTGAACAGGCAGCAATAAAGTAAAACAGTAAAAACACACAAAAAGGAGCTGCACAGTATGGCTCCAGCGCGCACGCCTCTATTCTCAACAGTGTGTCCACGCAAACAGTTGTGTGCTTGTCGTGCGTATGCGTATGTTTGGGATGCGTTCAACGTGACGGATGTGGCGCACAGCACGGAGCACACAGCAGGGCAGCGGAAGCAAAGGAAGCAAAAACACAATCATCATAATTACTCTTACTTTATACATCGGACCACGGTGGACGCACACATGTCACCGCAGTTGAGTGCTGGCACGCACAGCCCGCACACACAATTCTTCAGCCCACAGCGGTGTACGCCAGCGCGGATGCGGCAAGCAGCAGCGGGGCACACACCCACGCAGAGCTGCTGAGGCTGCCGTCAATTTCGCGAAGACGTGACGGTGTGGTGGTGGTCGTCGTGGTTGGCGCCTCTGTATTCATAGTGTTTGGTGCCTTTGTTGTAGTTGTAGTTGGTGTTGTGGTCGTCGTTTTTTCCAAAGGAACCCCCAATTTTGGGTTTGTTGCAGATTGATCCACATCGCTTGTTTTCCCTGGCTCACCGGACGCACCTGGTGCACCTTCACTGTCGGAGATCACATCGGTGTCCCGACCTTGTATGTCTTGCGTACCGCCCTCACTTTCAACCTGTGACTCTTTGGTCGTCAGGTCTGGGCTCTCACTTGTTCCCTTCTGCCTACCGTTTGTCCTACCTTCATCCTTTTTTAGTTCAGAGTCCGTACCGGGGTTATCTTCTTCCGTTGTCGCACACACGGACGGGCAGTAGCACAGGGCAAGCACCAACAGGGCGCACAGCAGACGGCACGTCATCATCGTGAGTGTGGTCGTTCAGTGGTGTGGAGCTGATCTGCACAGCGAGGGACATGGAGAGCAACAGGGGAGACGAGAGGTGCGGCAGACACACACAGATGGCACACCACATGAGGAGAGGGTAGCAGCCAGGCATGCACCGTACGCCGCACACCACGCACGACACACACTCCAATCCACGGCAGCAGGCACACACACACACAGCCCTGCCGCAACAACAACACACAGATGGAAGAGGGAGAAGCAAACAGGAGCGGCACACAACGCTCCACCGCATGTGCATACGGCGAGAGCGGTCCGTCGTGTCGGCACCCTCACGGAGGGTACGCACACACACAAGAGGAATAGGCGCAGCGCACACAGCAACGCAAAAGCAAAGTAACGGTAAAAGGGAACGATCCCCGCACACCACGTGGATTGTTGGTCCACGGGAAGTGCAGCCAATATTCATCACAAAAAAAATTCAGTTGACTTTGGCCTTCGTTCATATTCAGCGCACTCCACTTCATGCAGGCACCGCCACCACCACTGCAGCAGCAGCAGCACGCATACGAGACAATAAGACGCAAAGGATGGGAGGTGGTGTGGGAGACCGCGGTGGGGCTGTCGCTGTCGGCGGTGGTCGCTCTTCCTTCGTCATTTTTAGTGACTGATGTTGTTGTGAATTCTTCTTGCTGTTTGACTGGGAGTGATGTGAAAAAAATTTGCTTCCCTGGCAATCATTTGATTCCTCTCCTACCCCGTCGATTTCTGTGCTCGCCGCTGGAGTCGGCGGGACGCTGACAGGGCTGCCAGCACCATCTGATTGAACCTGGTCTGCTGTGTTCTCGTCCCCATTCCCACTGCACCAGCTGCTGGGGCGGTGCAGCGGTCATGCCAGAAGCACCAGCAATGGGCTGGGGTGTCGGCCGCATCAATCAATGGATGTGTCCGAAAGCCACAGGAACTTGCATCGACAGGGAAGTCTGCACCGACGCTCGGGGATGGGGAACAATAACGACAAACAGAACAGCGCGTGCCACCTCGGAAAATCCGCAATTCGTATTGGCGCGGGCTGCGTTGTGGTCTGGCGACGACGGAAATGAATGACGGTGCGAGTGGCGTTCTCGTCGTGCGTCCCCTGCGGCCACTCCTTGCAGTAAACTCATTGCCTGAGCACATTTGATTCCGCCGGAGAGACCAATTAAAAATGTTCTTTCCTCCAAATGTGTTGTACTCGCATGTGGCGACGGCCGCCCGCAATGCCTCCAGCGGATACACCTGCGATGCACGGTCAACACATTCCACATCCACTCGCTGTGCACCATCCAACACCATCTTTCCCTTGGAGCCATGAACAACACCGGGCACACACTCCTTTTCGGCCGTCCACGGCATGCGCCTGCGGTGAGAATCCGGAGAAAGTTCCATTCCTTCTGTGCACAAAGTCATGGAGCTGCCGCCGTTAAGCGCGTCCCGGCGAGGGCAACAACAGCCCGCCACAGCACTCACGAATGCCCACCCGTTGCCTCCTCTGCAAAAAAAATAATAAACATTGGAGGGAAAAGCGTGCACAAATGCCCCGGCGAAAAAAGTCAGCATCAGTGGACGAACACTGAAGCCGTGGGTGCATGCTCCACAAATGTCCTTCCTTTTTTAACCGCCTTCTTAGTGGCAGAGAAACGACTTGCAACCGCACACGCAAGAAAACAAAAGCAAAAGGCAAGCAGCGCAGCCGTCCAAACACACACACGCGTATCGTATAAAACGCTTCATGGAGAGGAACGGAATGCAGGAAGAAGCGCACACAATCTCCACAGACACCCGCAATCGTGTGTGGTTGCTTCTGTTCCACTCTTTGGCCCTCGATGCGTTCCTGTGCGTGTCTCGCCAGTGAGTCACAGTGCCGTAGGATGCCAATTCCCTGCACAAACACACCTCAGGACGAAGCAACGAGATTTCCCCAATGACCACCTCACGGCCGTACCTTTTGGATATCTCATGGACCGAGCGCCTCTCGCTGCAGGCCACACCACCCAAAACAAGCAGCACAATGCGCTGAGGAGTTGTGAGGGCAATCGTCCCACCACCGCCACACAGATCAGGATGATTCTCCCACTTGCCACCACACCCTTGAAATGGCCCGGCGGTTTTTTCATGCTCCACTGTTTTGGCCACCACTCGCGCCATTTGGCCCCATCGCATGATCGCGCTGCACCGATGCCAACGACAGCTCAACCCGCAGCGTCCTATTCCTGTCCGTCTCCATCATCATACAGGCCTG